AGTTATTCTACAATGGTGTTTGATTCTCTAATCTGTGCTGGTGAATCAACAACTTTTAAACTTCTCAAAGATATCTAAATATCTACTATTGTGTTTTTGTGCTATACACAAATACATCAAAATGCTTTTAAATGCTTTTGAATCTCTGTTGGTTGTAATCTATCTCATTGATCTAGGCATTAATCTAGGCTACACTCATATGGACTTTTGCATTGTCAACATTCACTCATGTTTGAACACAAGTGAATTTGGCAGTATCTAATAAAACTGTACATAAAACTGTAATTAACTTTATCTACTTCTGAAGTAAATGCTTGTGAAATGGTCCCTTTACCATTTGATATTAACACTGGCTAAGAATATTCTCTATTTTTGAAAGCATCTATGGTTGATGCATTTATCTAATTCTATTTCTACACTATTGTTTAACTCCAAAGCTCGGTTGCAGCTTGAGTCAAGGCATTTTTCTAATTTGTGACTTCTGTCACTTTTAATGGCTGTAACATAACTCTGATTCTAATATTATAGCTGATCTATCAAAAGGATAACATTGTAGGGTACTATTTTAACTCTTACGTGGAAATGTGTTTATGAAAAACAAAGGAAGTCAAATTCTACTTTTTTACTACTATTTAACATCTACTAAAACGCTACAATACTCATACTTTATCATTTTCAAACATTTTAACTGTTGCTCAGTCTCCCAGATTAAAAAAGTCAAATTTTTTGTCTGTCAGATGTCTGAATACTTAACATGTATATTGCATTTGGTCACAGGTTCTGGTTGTAGCAATAGCATCGGCAATAGACGTTTTCATTGGCTGGTTCTTGTTCTGCAAATGGCTGTGTCCAATAGATCATCAGATGTCCAGAAGCTAGGGACAAACAAAAACAAAAGAAGAATCATGAGTATCTCTCTCATTTAGCACTCAACAATGTATGATTTCAAAAATATAAACATCACTCCCCAGTTTTCTCTCTCAGGTCCTCAGGGTCCTCAGGGTCCCCTGAGGGTGAGTCTCAGTCGTCATCAGGTCAGGTCATAGAGAGATGTCATCTTGGACATCAGTAGGGTCCAAGCCATGGTTCTGGTCCAGATGCACATCAGGATCTCCAGATACAGTCTTTTCAGTTGAAGCACATCAGGTCATTTGCGATGCACTTCTGGTCAATGGTGCAGTGTCTCAGTTCCTGTACACAGCTTGTTATGCAATAGTTACTCTCTATGGTTAAGTCATTTTGATTCTTATTTAAAGACAATTTCTATTCATGCTGTTGCTAATGTCCCTCAGACAAAAGCAAGCGCAATGATTCAGTTTACTTCTCTAATTTGGGTTTGGGTTTTTATCAGATGTAATCAATGTAATTACTTCACACAGTACAAAATCAACAAATCAAAAGTGTCAGGACAGACGTCAATTAAGTCCATGACAATATAGAATTCAAATGAACATTTCTGGTCTCAAAAAATACTGATTCAAATAAAGATTCAAGTGATAGACAATTAAAAATGTGTTTACATTGGAGTAAACTTTTAAAATGCTTTTTCTCATGTTCTACTTTTTCATGTATCTATATGTAAATGTGAGTGTATGTATGTATGGATGTGTGTGTGTGTATATGAATTTTGGGGTTGTCTCTCCAGACTCCACGAACCACCTGTAGGTCTCAAAGGTCACACTGTGGTGATGCAAACCAACTGGACACACTTTCAACTCTCATTCAGGTCTCTCCCTGACGCTCCACCCATCACTGCCTCCAGAAACCTCCACTTTTCATGGCCCCGGTCTCTCTCACACCCACTCAGTTCTGCAGTGGCGTGGGGAGGGGCAAGGAGGTGGCATTTTCCTTTGCTCTTTGATCTGTGACCTGTGGCTGGGTGGGCTTTGCGCTGTCCAGTGTCCAGCAGTGACCTCTCGTACAGTGAGGCAGAGTCTGAAAAACAATCCTTGAAACGGCCAATTTAAAAAAACAATAGATATCAGTATGCGAATGAGATTGTTTTTCTCTCTGAAGTCAAAACAATTTGAGCGCTCTGGGTTTTCCCAAGCGCTATGTAAATAAAGATTACTTATTATCTTACTAATGATGACATTTTAAAACCAGAAACTAAAGAAGTTATCAAAACAACAATTATACTCAAAACAAACAACCTTTTAAACTTTAAAACATGTATTATATACTTTTGTACTGTGTGATTAATTATCTATGCGTCCTTGGGTTTCTTGAAAGACGCCATGAAATGAAATTATGAAAAATCTCTATAAAAATGAACATTAATTTGTAAAAACATTTAAAACAAAACTTGAAATCAAACAAAAGATTTAGCTCCAGCTAAACTGGATTTGGTTCAATAAAACTCAATTGTGCGTCGGAGCTGCCTCCTCATGTCTCTGAGCAGCAGCAAGGTCACGCGTGTAGTCAAAACAAAAACAAACGTCACCACTTGCATGTGAATTGGGTAGTTTAACTTAATAATATAATACTTTTACAGCCTAATTCTCTCTTTCTTTTTAGACGAAGTCTATAATCAATAATCACTTTTAACACGGATTCTAATTTAAATGTTTTGAAAAACGGCTTTTGTAACTAAAATAAAAACATAAAAACAAACACAACTCACAAAAAGTTAAGAAATAAGCAGCAGATTTAAAAAGAATGGAATCTAGAAATATGTTAGGTCTAAAAAGAATTGCACAGCTTTTAGCACTAATCTTTGGGTTTCAAAAACATACTAATTCAAAACTTATTCACTAATGGTGTTTAAAAACGTTTAACTGTGTCATAACACAATGTTCAATGGCAAATTTCGCAAATTTAACGGAATAAAAACTATGAAAAGCCAAATTCCTAAAGCAGTAGCTCCCCTTTAAATCAGAGCAGCAGCTCAGCAGCAGCGAGGGCGGGGGGGTTCCTTTCACACAGACGCGCACACACAGGCGGAAAGACACAGAAGAAGAACTTTCAAGATTAATTTTTTAAGCAAATATAACTGATGTTGTAGTTTATACTTTTGTCCTCCAAGTCTAGAATTGATCACTTTCCACACTTGTAACAAAAGGCACTCTTGTCTTTAACGTTTACGCTTCTATTTTATCGAGGTAGCAAACTAGTTTAAACTCAAAATCTCTTTCTAAAAAACAAAAACAACTGTTGGATACAACCCTCTCATAGCTCAACTGTAGATAAAACTCGGCAAAAAATGTAAATAACTCACGAAAGCTCTCATAGCTCAACTTTAGATACAACTCTGCATTCTCCGGTGAACTCTGTTCACTCCAAAAAACAAAAACTCCCTTTTCTGTATGTAATTTAAACCGTGATCACTGAAATATTGTTGCTTATGTACTTTTGTCATTTATCAGCCTGAAATTCGTCAATTTCAAAGCTTTTGTAACAAAGGCCTCCTTAACACATTTCCCTTTTTATTGCTTTTATTATTACACCATGGTTTCACTTTTGGATCCAACACTTATGGCCTTTACACTTTATGGATCCTCACTTTAATGGCCAACACTTTTCACTTTATGGATCCTATTCACTTTAATGGCCAACACTTTTCACTTTATGGATCCTATTCACTTTAATGGCCAACACTTCACTTTATGGATCCTTTTCACTTTAATGGCCAACACTTTTCACTTTATGGATCCTATTCACTTTAATGGCCAACACTTTTCACTTTATGGATCCTATTCACTTTAATGGCCAACACTTTTCACTTATGGATCCTTTTCACTTTAATGGCCAACACTTTTCACTTTATGGATCCTATTCACTTTAATGGCCAACACTTTTCACTTTATGGATCCTATTCACTTTAATGGCCAACACTTTTCACTTTATGGATCCTATTCACTTTAATGGCCAACACTTTTCACTTTATGGATCCTATTCACTTTAATGGCCAACACTTTTCACTTTATGGATCCTCACTTTAATGGCCAACACTTTTCCCTGTTTACTCTGTTTCTTTTCCTCAGACGAGAATAAAGCAGTACACAGTTTATATAGTCATTGTCACGTCACCACATCGAAAGACATACGACAGTCACAAAGAGACAGTGCACAAATATTGCCTATCTAATACTAATATAGTCATAACATAAAAAGGGAGTCCTTGTAGAGAATGAAACCATGTTTATCGCTTGTAAACAGTCCTGCGACGTTTCTCGGGTACCAGAAGGTAGCCATAATTAAAAAAATGCCCATTAGAGTTATCAGAATACCCAATACTCCAAGGAGCCCGCACATAGTCACCAGGAGCCAGAGGCCCAAGATGCGCAGCACACACGAGCCCTAGACCAAGATATTAAATTGATAAGTGACTATAAGAATTAGATTTATTTTCTAAATGCTTACCGGTATTACAGTGGACTGTGTATACGGTAAAGGTGGCCTGCCCGCGGCTCTAAGGAAAACAAAATTTTAATATACTCCAGAACATAAAAGAGTCTAGAAAGCCTGCTCTAACACTCACCAAACAGAGCAGAGTCGCTGCATCTGCGGAGGGGTTGCGCATAACGCGCGCTCTGACCCCACCTCCACGGCTGTGCCGGAACACAGACAATCTAAGAGAATATATGTTAATAATTGTGCCAAAACGAAGCCCCCAATGCCCGTCCGCACACACTCACCCGAGACGCAGATTGAAAAGCCGATGTAAAGCTGGATCTAAAGCAACATGTGCTTCGGACGCCACCAGCAGCAGCGTCCCGACGTCAGAGGCGAGGCAAAACATAGTGTATGGTGGAGGGCTGCCCTTAAATACCACAAGCCATAGCGCTGATAGGATCGCTCACAAAACAGGTGTACCACTACTTCCGCCCCTCCTCCCTGAATCGTCGCCCCCGAAGATCAACCCATACTACCCTAAATGAAAGCAGCGAGTGACGGTTAGCCCACTGGGGCTCGAGGTAAGCGAGTGGGATTAGGATGGCGCCCTGCATTAGCACGCCTTGTCCTGCCACTTCGAGGTTTTCGACCGGTTGAACAAAAGTTTAGGAATCGACTCCTGTGGGGTGGAGGAACCACAGGACCGTCCCTAACGAAGTGGAAGTAAGTGGGTGGCTGGGGCAGCAGCCTCGCAATGAGGGGCTGGCCCTGGTACTACCATATACAAATCCCCCTCGGGCAGCTCCTCCGCGCACTAGGTGCCACTGTGAGGGTCCCAAAGGAGGACTGGGAACCCCACCAGAAAAGCGGTTTAGATTGAAGACCGGTGGACCTGAGCAAAGAAGAGTCCTGGTTGTGTGTTGGAACGTTCAACTGTATAGACCTGCGCCCCCTGTTGGGTGGTGCAACGGTTCTACAAGAAAACGGTTGAGAAGACCACATGTCTTTAATCTTGGCAGCGGCCCTTTAAAGCCCCCCATTTTCCGCAACAATACCCTCTGACCTTCTGCCAGGGGGGACATCTCCCTTTTCTACGTTTTCTTGCAGCTTGTCGCATGCGGGACCTTGCTCCATCAAATGCTAGTTGCAACCGAGAGTCTGGATGTTCCACAATCCACTCAGCAAGGTTCTCTGCAGTCGGTTCCGACGACCCTCCCAAAAGGAAATCGACTGGGAGTCTTGGCTCCTGACCAAACATCAGGATAAAAGGAGACTCTCAGTAGACTGGTGCGGGGTAGTATTAATAAGCATACAAAAGACCTGTTGGCAAACACAAACACCCAGTCCCGCTTACGGGACTCTGGTAAGCGCGGAGCCAAGTTGTGCTTTGGCCGGTTGAAACCGTTCGCCACTGGCCCATTTCCGGCTGGATGGTAGGGGGTGGTCCTGGATTTTTACCACCCCGTAAGACAGCACAACTGCTGTATCACCCGGCTCTCAACGCAGGCCCCGCCGCCTGGTCAGAAATGGATGCGTCCTGTTACGCAAACTTTGAGAACCACCTGGAAAAACCAAAACTTGAGCAACAGTCTGATCTCGCTGATCTCGAGTTGGAATGAGCGAGGTGTATTTACTGAAACCCATCCTTAAAGAATCAAAACATTCTCAAACACCCCGATGGGGAAGGCTCCAGCGAAAGTGACCTCAGGGCAATGATGTCACGGGCATGGCGCCAAGAGATGGCCCATAATGCCTGCAGGAGCCGGGTGTCCTTTGCGATCTGGCAACGGACACACTCGCCTACCACCATTGAGCCACATTTTTGGCCATACCAGGCCAATAGCACCGTGACCGCAACAAGAGCAAGGTCCGTTCCACACCCTGATGACCGTGCTTGCTGATGAACTTTGATGCAAAGACCTCCTCCCTCAAGTTGCTCGTCAGAGGAAGCGCAAAACCCCTTCCCACCATCCGTACGGTCGACCCTTCCGTAAAGCAGCCCATCTTTTTTTTCTACAACCGATCCGCACTGCTGAGCAACACCAAAGCAGGGTGGGACATCGGCAACGTCCTTCATAGGTGGCGACGGTATAACACCCAGAAGCAGACCACTGCCTTGATGACAGGATCAGATCTTTGCAAATCCTGAATTCCGATAAGTGGGTCGCAGAAAAGCCAGCAATGGCAGCCTGAATGTGGCCTGGACAACTTCCACCTGGGTTGTCCCAGGTCCCTCAAGCAAAAGGGCCGAGGTTGCCTGGAAGCCACCACTGCAAGTTGGTCAGCACCAACACAACCTATGTGCCGCGACAGGGCATCCGCAATGCCATTGCTCTTCCCACCTATACCGACTCAAAATCGATACGATGCAAGCTGGGCTGCCCAACGCTGTTCTACCTTCATCCTAACTTCGCATGAGAAAGGTAGCTTAGTGGGTAGTTGTCCCGTACATACGACACATTTGTGGCCCAACAGGTACTCGCGGAACTATCTGTCATAGCCCACTTGAGCGCCAACAGTTTCCAGTTTTCATAGAACTGTAGTTTGTTTCTTGTTTGCTCCGTGGGCCTCAACAACCTCGACAAGCGTAAGCAATTGGCCTTACGTTTCCCCCTTGCACTTTGGGAGAGCACGCTCCCAAGCCGATATGGCTCGCGTCAACTCCAGGATGAAAGGCAATGAAAAGTTGGCATAAGCCAACACTGGCGCGGTCGACAGTTTTGCCTTGAGCAAGTCAAAAACTCTAAATGTCTGGTCATTCATCACTCCAAGGTTCGATTTCGGGTCCGGCCTTTCTCTTACTGCGACTTTCCGGATAAGACAGCCACCCGCCTGTGCAGCGGCATGGCCACTTTGGCAAACTTGTCCGACAAAGCGGCGATAGTAATCTCGCGAATCCCAAAACGAGCGGATACCGTGGCAATCGGTGGGCACTTGCCAATTCGCCACAGCCTCAACCTTGTCTGGGTCAGTGGAGACCCCCTGGTCTGAAATAATATGGCCCCCAAGTATCGGACCTCACGGCGAAAGAAACGCACAGCTAGCTGGAGCCTTCAAACCCTCGTGCCGCAAACGCCCCAACACCCCTCAAGCTCTGCAGAGTTGTGATGTCGGTGGAGAAAACCACGATGTCGTCAAGGTACAGGAGCAGGGACTGACCCCTGCTGGTCCCCGAAGAATCCTTTGCATAAGTCGTTGAAAAGGTGCCGGGCGCGTTGCATACCCCAAGGGCATTCTTTTCCATCAAAGAGCCAGAAAGGTGTTCCAGAACGCAGTTTTGGGCCTGTCGGCTTCAGTACCTGGCAGCCTGTTATACCCACTTTGCCAGGTCCAAGGTGTTAAAACCAACAGGCCGCCTGACAAGCTATCCAATGTCTCGCTCTATTCACGGGAGAGGGAACGCATCTTTCCGAGTTTTCAGGTTCAGCAGCCTTTAATCACAAAAGCCTAAGACTACCATCCTTTTTATGAACCATACTATCGGGAGGCTACGGACATTGAACTTTCACGGATGACACATGCCTCCAAATAAGCAGGTTACTGTGATCCTTTACAAGCTCAAACCTACGGGGAATCCTGCGATGCCGTTGTCTAACAGGGATGTCATCCAACAAAGGAATGAATCATGATTTGAATCAAAATCCCGTACATCCCAAGTTCCTGTTAGGTGAGAAAAAGAAGCATACCTCCGGAGAAGGGTCCGCCGCAGCACCTTGATCCCACCGGGGTAGACCGGAACAGTCTAACTGCGACGATTTTGGTCCGCCTCCGGCATTTGCAATCTGTGAAGCGTTTTGTGCAGTGACTGTTGGATTCTGGTCAGCACCTGTGGGCATACTGGCGACCCGAACAGAATCCAACGTACCCATAACTGTGGGTGGGGTGAAAGAAGTACTCTCTGTGGTTTCCCACATAAACGATCGGGCTTTAACAGTCCCCTCTAATACCAAGATGTACCACGGCTGCGAAGACAGCAAGACCGCCGGATAGACCATACCTCAGGAGGTTCAAACAAAACTGTTTCTCCTCTGAGAACTGTTCCGAACATGATGCTGCCCGATCTTCATGGAACCACCCGGATGTGTGGGGCTCTTTTCCCCCGTACCGCACCTTACCTGGATTGGTCCCAATAGGGGCCAGCAGCCGCACTCTGTGACAACCGCTGCAGGCCTTCATAGAGGGTGGAGGGAATAAGAGCACGACTCCGCCCCAAAAATGGGAAGTCATGTTCCCCCGAACTGCTCCTGGTAACACATGCGGATGAGTTCATCCCCAAGATGCCAGGTCCACTGGTGGTGCTTCGCCTCTGGGTCCTTTACGACCACGATGCCCACTGCGGTCATTAGCTTCCCACACAAGGTGACGTCCAGTTCCCATATAGCCCCGATGTACGGTATCGCTAAGCCATTCGCCGCCGCTTAAGTTGCGCCAGTGGCAGCCTTAAGACGATACATCCCCCCAAGGTGCAAAATGTTCTAAAAAGAAACTCTCCGTTATGGTAGAGACCATTGAGCCCTGTGTCCACCGAGACATGGCACAGAGACACCGCTCATACAACTTCAATGTGGCGGACATGCAGAAATCAACTTTGGTGCATCTTCCAGATTTTCGCCAAAGCAATGTTGGGGCCCAGAAGAGGCCCACTCCGAACTGTGGCCACTTCAGCACGTGGGGCGCTAGTTTTCCTGCCGGCCGGGTTGATTGGGGGTGCCCAGTCCATCGGCAAGCTGCGAACGAGGGGGGACACGTTGCCCATCACAGTCCCTCGCAATGGCCCCTACACCGCTGACACGCCATCAAACACGGGGTTCATTACGGGTAAAGTTACGCTGGTTAAACGGCTGGGGAACCTGCAATCAAGCAATACTCTGCGACAATCTATCAATTTGCTCTGTAGAAGCCGCAACCTTTCCTTAACTTCGCTGACCTCTGTAAGCTTGGAGAGGTTGACACTCACTTTGATACACTCCCTGGACAGCGTACTGAATTCCAAAAGAGGAGGGGACAGAATTACTGCGGCCACGCATGCTTGCGGGCAACCCCTCACGCTCCCACTGCATAGCCTCACCTCTGACGTCCAGCAGTGTTGCCTCAGTTCGGCCGCGTACGTACTGTTTTAGCGCACGCGTAGAGCTCCATCTACAACCCTGTTTCGACAAACTGGTCACTGCAAGAGATTTTCGGCATTTGGCATTATGTTTGGGGCGCGCTGTTTAACCTTACCATTATGCCATGGAGCGCGAGAGAAAACTCAACCAGGGGTCGCGCCCTCCTGTTTGGCGACGGGAAAAGAATGCTTCTTGAAGTGCTACATACGACTCTGCACACCCGTATAGGTCCTGCATAACAGCAGTGACTTTGTTGGAGTCGCGCTCCGTTCTTCAGCCGGCGATATTTATTTCTTCGCGAGCCACCCCTTCCAAAATGGTCAAAAAGGAAAAACTCATCGTCAGCTGCATTCAAATGTCGTGTCCCTCATACACGCTTCTGCCTCACCAACCACCTCAATAAGCTTATACCGTTCTACCCCGAAACATTGCACCTACGGTCACGTGAACAAACACGAGGCGGTCTGCGCTTTACGTTAGTATGTAGAGGGGCAACAGTTTCATCGACGAAGTGGATGGCCCAGCCCCAGAATTAGATGAAGACTGGGTACGTTCTCGTCGCAAGCGTTTCATTTTCGCCCTCTAAATTCGGCAGCGCTTCCTGCAGTTCTCTAATCTGGCTCGTCTTTCATGGCTAACAAAAAGATGAATTACTCAAGGGGGATGCTGCTGCTGGTTGCCTCAAAAAAAACGCCAATGTCCAATGTGACAGATAAGCAGGTGAATAAATAATCGTACATTAGTGGGGAACAACTTATGAATGCGGGAGAATAAATAACAAGCTAAACGGAGTAAGCAAAAAATAAAGTACATCTATGCATATAATTTAAATCAAAACATGCAAATATAGAAAACCAAAAACCAAAATCACAAACACTTCATGCAATGCAAATTAGGCACACAAAACTTCTCTCAAATGAAAATGATAGGCATGAAATACTTCCCTTTCCCACAGTAGCTATCTGCTATAACTCCAACACACCCAAGCTGTATGCATGCACTTATTCCACCGCATACAATTAATTCACAAAGACCAACAATGATTTAATTTAAAAAGGCCTGTAGTACAAAATACAATTTATTTGACCATTTTAAAAAGGACAATTTCTGTAGTCCATTCCACGACGCCGGACTCTCCACTCTCACTGTAGAATGTAAACTCAGTGTTATCGCTTGGCCTCACTAATAAAACATTGTTCCACTCAGCAGCAGCGAGGGTGTCGTGTTTCTCCGGGTACCAGAAGGGGAGACTCGCTCAGAACTGAATGAAATAATTAAATGTAGTACTTAATTAAAATAATAAGCCCATTAGAGTTAGTGCAGTATACCCACATGTAGCTCTCCAAGGAGCCCGCACATAAGTCACCAGGAGCCAGAGGCCCAAGATGCGCGCACACACGAGCCCTAGACCAAGATATTAAATTGATAAGTGACTATAAGAATTAGATTTATTTTAAATGCTTACCGGTATTACAAGTGGACTGTGTATTCGGTAAAGGGTGCCTGCCCGCGGCTCTAAGGAAAACTAAATTTTAATAAATACTCCAGAACATAAAGAGTTAGAAAGCCAGCTCTAACACTCACCAAACAGAGCAGAGCGCTGCACCTGCGGAGGGGTTGCGCAATAACCGCGCTCTGTCCCCACTCCACGGTTGTGCCGGGATCACAGACAATCTAAGAGAAATATAGGTTGAATATTGTGCCAAAACGAAGCCACAAGGCCGGCCGCAAACACTCACCGAGACGCAGACTGAAAGAAGCGTGCCCGCTGGGTCACAAAGCCGATGTAAAGGCTGGATCTAAAGCAACATGTGCTTCGGACGCCACCAGCGAGCAGCGTCCCGACGTCAGAGGCGAGGCAAAACAGGAGTGTACGGGGGAGGGCTGCCCTTAAATACCACAAGCCAGAGCGCTGATAGGAGCGCTCACAACACAGGTGTACCACTACATATATATACTATAATAATAATTAAAAAAAAACAAAAAAAACAGCTAGTAACATGCACAGGAAATGGTAAGATATCTAGACAATTCCAATTTAAATAAGCCAAAGGAGGTTAAGGATCTTATGTGGGTAACTTATTCCAATCAGATGGAGCCTTGTATGAAAAAGCTCTACTTCCAACTTCTTTATGGATTCTTGGAACAGAAAAGGTGAGGGAGTTAGTGCTTCTTAGTGAATAGGTTGGTGAATTGGGGACAAAAAACAATTCTAAATATTGAGGACAGTTAAAATAAATACATTTGTAAATGAACTTCATCCAATGAAAGTGACGTCTGTGGTTAGGTTGCAACCAGTTCAGTTTTTCAAATAAAGTGCAGTGATGTGTTCGATAAGGACATTTAAGGATGAATCTGCAAAGACAGTTGATGAGTGTGTTTAAAGGTTTGAGGTATGAGTCATATGTGTTTTGGTAGATGGTGTCAGAATAATCTATGATGGGTAGAACTAGTTGTGTTATTATTTTCTTTCTAACTTCCTGGGTGAAACAGTTGGATGAACGAAACAGGGGGCCCATGGTGGCGTATGTTCTTTTAATGATGTAATCAATATGGGGTTTGAAATTAAGCTCTGGGTCCAGCCACAAACCAAGATATTTAATGGATTCAGCTTTATGCATCTTTGACCCATCACTGAACTCTATATGGAGGTCGGGGGAATTGAGAAGTTTGTGATGTGTACCGAAAAGAATACAGCATGATTTTTTCATATTGAGAATTAATCTGTTATTATAGAGCCATTTTTGGACTGAGTTAAAGACAAGCTGCAACTGATTCTGAAGAAATGGAAGATTACCATTAGATGTGTAAATGACTGTGTCGTCAGCGTATATATTTATTGAACAGTTTGATATGACTTGTGGAAGATCATTGATGAATATTGAGATTAGAAGGGGACCTAAAGTGGAGCCCTGGGGCACCCCTTTCTCAATTATGCATTTGTTGGACTGAGAACCATGTGACACAACATATTTAAAACGGCTATGGAGATAGGAATTAAAGAATAAAATGGCGTTGGTATCAAGACCTATTGCGTAAAGCTTGTCAAGCAGTAGGTAGTGATCTACCTCTATCTAAAGAACATCTTATCTTATGTGCTTGCATCTTTGTCTGTTAACAGGATTCTTTGAGTGTTATTGTTCCTTAGTTGTCTTCGAACACTTTTGTTTTAACATATTTGTAACTGTCTAAATCTTGAAGTGGCTGTAAAGACACTCCTGTACAGCTGAAGCTAAAGAGATATGCTCGACATGTAGAAAGGGCTACTGTCGGTTGTTTTTGTGTTTTCCATGAAATGAGTGAACTCTCTTTCACATAGACTGGCACAATATCCTGATGTGCTACGTCAGGAGATGGTTATTGTGTACCTTCAAGATTCAATTTGTGTTCCTCTCATGTCCCACTAAAGCACTTTCTGGTCTCTCTCTGGTCTCTCTCTGGTCCGTCTCTCTGGTCCAGGGATTAAAGAGTTCCGTCTAGGTGACGGATTTCCGTCAAATGAAATTGGTCTGGAAAAAAAAATATATATATATATAATGATAATAATACACACAATGAAATGATTGATTATAAAAATAATATATAGTAATACATATACGTGTGAATCTGTTATATATATATATATAATCGATGTATAATAATAATTTGAATATAATTGTATTTATATGTATATAGAAATAATAAGTAATATAATCACGAGTGGGCCTTGAACGTGCCGTGGCCACATGAGCGCTCCGCAAATGAATCAAGGCAATGGGACGTAGCTGAGCTCACGCGCAAATGAAGACGCGATGAAGTTAGCATTGGTAACACGGAGGTGAAAGTTTCTGGAAACTGCACGGAGCTTTTGAAAAGGAGAAGAGGAGGAACATTGAATCTCGAACGGAGCAATAACAGCAGCAGATCCGCGGACTGGTAAGCTGGGCGCGTAATAGACGAAAGGTAATTAACGTTTACCAAACGCAATGCTATTTTACTTAACGGAATGTACAAAACGGACTTTGCTGCGACTGGGAATAGGGACAAACATGTCTTGGTGAGCTTTTGATATTGCCTTGTTTGCGATCTTCTTGCAAAACTCAGCGTGATGTAAAAGAGCCAATCAACGAGTCATGGTGCGAAAAGATGAAAGTGGCCGGTGCTTGTGCGTACTTTGCCATAAAAAAATTGCATATATGGGAGTAATGAGAAAAAAGTTTTGATTCGCCACCAGCTCAAAACTGCGCACAAGGCAGCTGTTTGTGCACTTTCCCACACTTCATCTTTACCTGGTGCATCAGCAACAACTGACACTATCTTGCTCTAGCAGATCGTGTCTGTGGCTTTATCGCAGAAAATAACGTTCAGAATATCACTACCGCTGGTAGATTTATTTAAATCATTTGCAGTTGATCGAAGTGCACTGTGCACTCAAACTTGATAGGGAAACCTTTTTCTTAAATATTGACGTGTCCACAAACAAATGTGGACAGAATTTTATCGTCCTTTTGCGATATTTTGACGAGGACAGAGCCAAAGTGTTGACGCTCCATATCGCCTCAAGTAAAGCTACTCTCACTAATATTCTGTCAAAAAGTTGACTCGTTGCTTGATCCACTTATATTTCATATCAAAATACACTGTATATCTTTGAAGAATTAATTTGAGCTGTATTCAATATACAATCTATTATACAATAATATATTGTAATTAAAAATATAACTTGGTCCTGCATATTACTGTGATTTACATGTGATAAATTTCCATGCAAAAATGTTCAGTCAAATCTTTTTTTTTTGCTTTAACCCCTGCTCTGGTCTCTCACTCTGGTCTCTCTAATATTGTGTGCATACGCTTAAACTGTCTTCTCTTTACTGTAGGCTCCAATGGCTCCAGTAAGAACTCCAGCTCTGACAACGTGGCTGTAGGAGTGCCTCTGCTGAATTCTGGTAAAAAGAGATGAAGAGAAAGAGCTCCTTCACCAAAAACAACACATTCGTTGAAAACCTTTTTTTAATAGAAAATTAAAAAAACTTGATTTGATTTTGTTCAACATTTCATATTGAACAAAAAACCACATGGGTCATGATTTATCACAGTGCAAACAACAAAAGGTTATGTCCCTTTTATAAGCTTACATTTTAATAATAGCAAGTCACGTTCAGGAGATGGTTATTGTGTACCTTCAAGATTCAATTGTGTTCCTCTCATGTCCCACTAAAGCACTTTCTGGTCTCTCTCTGGTATTTGTAACACAGGTGCCGAATTCACTCTGAATATACGTTCATGCCCTTCTCCTAATCTATGCTTAGTTGCGTGCTATCGCGAGATTAGGGTCATGTGACCACGTCCCGCCAATCACGTCCCTTTATTATCCGCTACCCGGAAGTTACCGGTAGACGTGAGGGAAGCCCAAGCATTTGCTGCTGCAGGAGCCAACTTCCAGTGCCGGACCGTGACATATGAGCCAGGTGTTAGGATAAAAGTGGACTTGGCCAGGCTTTTTATGGTTGATGGCGAGCTACCGAAACAGGATTCTAGCCTGAAGAAGAAGTATCACTCCACCTGGAGATTCCTACCAGGAACCCCAACCTCCTGCTCTGTCCGGGCTGGTAGGAGGCTCTCGCAGCCACCCTCACAACTCACTCGCACCTTCATTCTCCGGCCCTCTCATGCTCATTCACTCACTCTTCCCCATGGGTCACTACCTTACCCTGGATACTCAAACCTGACCCCGGGTCGTGTTGAACTGTTGCCACCTGTGCGAATACTACACTTAAGTAGGAGTTAAAGGATCGCTCCGCTTACTTTGCTTTGTGGACACTGCACCTTGTATATAATTGATGTGGGATTATGGTTTCTCTACTGTGTAAATACTGTTGTTTCTACTTGAATGGCCATTCTCAATGTGTTGTCTGTCTTTGTTAACTTTTTATGCATAATATACGGTACCAACCAAAAAGCAAGTTACCGTCTCTGCCTCCTCTCTCCGAGCCGACACCTAGTCTTCTAGCCTAGTCCATTTGAATAGCCTAAGACCAAATTCTATTGCATTGTAACTATAAGCGTCCTATATTCTATATGGTATTGGTTATTTATTTAATACGTGTTTAATTGCAGCAGATTGGCTACATATTTCCCTCCGGTAATTCTTTCTGGTCCGTCTCTCTGGTCCGTCTCTCTGGTCCGTCTCTCTGGTCTCTCACTCTGGTCTCTCTAATATTGTGTGCATACGCTTAAACTGTCTTCTCTTTGCTGTAGGCTCCAGTGGCTCCAGTAAGAACTCCAGCTCTGACAACGTGGCTGTAGGAGTGCCTCTGCTGAATTCTGGTAAAAAGAGATGAAGAGAAAGAGCTCCTTCACCAAAAACAACACATTCGTTGAAAACCTTTTTTTAATAGAAAATTAAAAAAACTTTTTGATTTTGTTCAACATTTCATATTGAACAAAAAACCACAGGGGTCATGATTTATCACAGTGCAAACAACAAAAGGTTATGTCCCTTTTATAAGCTTACATTTTAATAATAGCAAGTCACGTTCAGGAGATGGTTATTGTGTACCTTCAAGATTCAATTGTGTTCCTCTCATGTCCCACTAAAGCACTTTCTGGTCTCTCTCTGGTATTTCCCTCCGGTAATTCTTTCTGGTCCGTCTCTCTGGTCCGTCTCTCTGGTCCGTCTATCTGGTCCGTCTCTCTGGTCCGTCTCTCTGGTCTCTCACTCTGGTCTCTCACTCTGGTCTCTCTAATATTGTGTGCATACGCTTAAACTGTCTTCTCTTTGCTGTAGGCTCCAGTGGCTCCAGTAAGAACTCCAGCTCTGACAACGTGGCTGTAGTGCCTCTGCTGAATTCTGGTAAAAAGAGATTAAGAGAAAGAGCTCCGACTTCATCAAAAACAACACATTCGTTGAAAACCTTTTTTTAATAGAAAATAAAAAAAAACTTTATTTGATTTTGTTCAACATTTCATATTGAACAAAAAACCACAGGGGTCATGATTTATCACAGTGCAAACAACAAAAGGTTATGTCCCTTTTATAAGCTTACATTTTAATAATAGCAAGTCACGTTCAGGAGATGGTTATTGTGTACCTTCAAGATTCAATTGAAGGTACACCTTGACATATCTCAAACCGAAAGAACATATAATTAACGCGTTACACTCTGCTCTCTCCTGAAGTTCTCGTGGGAAAACTGCAGAAAGACGAGCACCGGAACTCCCAAGACTCAGCCATTGGTGAGTAACTTCCACCTGTGTTCCTCTCATGTCCCACTAAAGCCCTTTCTGGTCTCTCTCTGGTATTTCCCTCCGGTAATTCTGTCTGGTCCGTCTCTCTGGTCCGTCTCTCTGGTCCGTCTCTCTGGTCCGTCTCTCTGGTCTCTCACTCTGGTCTCTCTAATATTGTGTGCATACGCTTAAACTGTCTTCTCTTTGCTGTAGGCTCCAATGGCTCCAGTAAGAACTCCAGCTCTGACAACGTGGGAGGAGTAGAAGTGCCTCTGCTGAATTCTGGTAAAAAGAGATGAAGAGAAAGAGCTCCGACTTCACCAAAAACAACACATTCGTTGAAAACCTTTTTTTAATAGAAAAAAAAAAAAAACTTGATTTGATTTTGTTCAACATTTCATATTGAACAAAAAACCACATGGGTCATGATTTATCACAGTGCAAACAACAAAAGGTTATGTCCCTTTTATAAGCTTACATTTTAATAATAGCAAGTCACGTTCAGGAGATGGTTATTGTGTACCTTCAAGATTCAATTGTGTTCCTCTCATGTCCCACTAAAGCACTTTCTGGTCTCTCTCTGGTATTTGTAACACAGGTGCCGAATTCACTCTGAATATACGTTCATGCCCTTCTCCTAATCTATGCTTAGTTGCGTGCTATCGCGAGATTAGGGTCATGTGACCACGTCCCGCCAATCACGTCCCTTTATTATCCGCTACCCGGAAGTTACCGGTAGACGTGAGGGAAGCCCAAGCATTTGCTGCTGCAGGAGCCAACTTCCAGTGCCGGACCGTGACATATGAGCCAGGTGTTAGGATAAAAGTGGACTTGGCCAGGCTTTTTATGGTTGATGGCGAGCTACCGAAACAGGATTCTAGCCTGAAGAAGAAGTATCACTCCACCTGGAGATTCCTACCAGGAACCCCAACCTCCTGCTCTGTCCGGGCTGGTAGGAGGCTCTCGCAGCCACCCTCACAACTCACTCGCACCTTCATTCTCCGGCCCTCTCATGCTCATTCACTCACTCTTCCCCATGGGTCACTACCTTACCCTGGATACTCAAACCTGACCCCGGGTCGTGTTGAACTGTTGCCACCTGTGCGAATACTACACTTAAGTAGGAGTTAAAGGATCGCTCCGCTTACTTTGCTTTGTGGACACTGCACCTTGTATATAATTGATGTGGGATTATGGTTTCTCTACTGTGTAAATACTGTTGTTTCTACTTGAATGGCCATTCTCAATGTGTTGTCTGTCTTTGTTAACTTTTTATGCATAATATACGGTACCAACCAAAAAGCAAGTTACCGTCTCTGCCTCCTCTCTCCGAGCCGACACCTAGTCTTCTAGCCTAGTCCATTTGAATAGCCTAAGACCAAATTCTATTGCATTGTAACTATAAGCGTCCTATATTCTATATGGTATTGGTTATTTATTTAATACGTGTTTAATTGCAGCAGATTGGCTACATATTTCCCTCCGGTAATTCTTTCTGGTCCGTCTCTCTGGTCCGTCTCTCTGGTCCGTCTCTCTGGTCTCTCACTCTGGTCTCTCTAATATTGTGTGCATACGCTTAAACTGTCTTCTCTTTGCTGTAGGCTCCAGTGGCTCCAGTAAGAACTCCAGCTCTGACAACGTGGCTGTAGGAGTGCCTCTGCTGAATTCTGGTAAAAAGAGATGAAGAGAAAGAGCTCCTTCACCAAAAACAACACATTCGTTGAAAACCTTTTTTTAATAGAAAATTAAAAAAACTTTTTGATTTTGTTCAACATTTCATATTGAACAAAAAACCACAGGGGTCATGATTTATCACAGTGCAAACAACAAAAGGTTATGTCCCTTTTATAAGCTTACATTTTAATAATAGCAAGTCACGTTCAGGAGATGGTTATTGTGTACCTTCAAGATTCAATTGTGTTCCTCTCATGTCCCACTAAAGCACTTTCTGGTCTCTCTCTGGTATTTCCCTCCGGTAATTCTTTCTGGTCCGTCTCTCTGGTCCGTCTCTCTGGTCCGTCTATCTGGTCCGTCTCTCTGGTCCGTCTCTCTGGTCTCTCACTCTGGTCTCTCACTCTGGTCTCTCTAATATTGTGTGCATACGCTTAAACTGTCTTCTCTTTGCTGTAGGCTCCAGTGGCTCCAGTAAGAACTCCAGCTCTGACAACGTGGCTGTAGTGCCTCTGCTGAATTCTGGTAAAAAGAGATTAAGAGAAAGAGCTCCGACTTCATCAAAAACAACACATTCGTTGAAAACCTTTTTTTAATAGAAAATAAAAAAAAACTTTATTTGATTTTGTTCAACATTTCATATTGAACAAAAAACCACAGGGGTCATGATTTATCACAGTGCAAACAACAAAAGGTTATGTCCCTTTTATAAGCTTACATTTTAATAATAGCAAGTCACGTTCAGGAGATGGTTATTGTGTACCTTCAAGATTCAATTGAAGGTACACCTTGACATATCTCAAACCGAAAGAACATATAATTAACGCGTTACACTCTGCTCTCTCCTGAAGTTCTCGTGGGAAAACTGCAGAAAGACGAGCACCGGAACTCCCAAGACTCAGCCATTGGTGAGTAACTTCCACCTGTGTTCCTCTCATGTCCCACTAAAGCCCTTTCTGGTCTCTCTCTGGTATTTCCCTCCGGTAATTCTGTCTGGTCCGTCTCTCTGGTCCGTCTCTCTGGTCCGTCTCTCTGGTCCGTCTCTCTGGTCTCTCACTCTGGTCTCTCTAATATTGTGTGCATACGCTTAAACTGTCTTCTCTTTGCTGTAGGCTCCAATGGCTCCAGTAAGAACTCCAGCTCTGACAACGTGGGAGGAGTAGAAGTGCCTCTGCTGAATTCTGGTAAAAAGAGATGAAGAGAAAGAGCTCCGACTTCACCAAAAACAACACATTCGTTGAAAACCTTTTTTTAATAGAAAAAAAAAAAAACTTGATTTGATTTTGTTCAACATTTCATATTGAACAAAAAACCACAGGGGTCATGATTTATCACAGTGCAAACAACAAAAGGTTATGTCCCTTTTATAAGCTTACATTTTAATAATAGCAAGTCACTTTCAGGAGATGGTTATTGTGTACCTTCAAGATTCAATTGAAGGTACACCTTGACATATCTCAAACAGAAAGAACATATAATTAACGCGTTACACTCTGCTCTCTCCTGAAGTTCCTGTGGAGCACCCAAGCGTGAACAAGCACCCTGTCAACGCCAGTCCTGACGGAAGCTCTGAAAAACTGCAGAAAGACGAGGACCAGAACTCCCAGGACTCAGCCCTTGGTGAGTAACTTCCACCTGTGTTCCTCTCATGTCCCACTAAAGCACTTTCTGGTCTCTCTCTGGTCTCTCTCTGGTCTCTCTCTGGTATTTCCCTCCGGTAATTCTCTCTGGTCCGTCTCTCTGGTCCGTCTCTCTGGTCTCTCACTCTGGTCTCTCACTCTGGTCCGTCTCTCTGGTCTCTCACTCTGGTCTCTCACTCTGGTCTCTCTAATATTGTGTGCATACGCTTAAACTGTCTTCTCTTTGCTGTAGGCTCCAATGGCTCCAGTAAGAACTCCAGCTCTGACAACGTGACTGTAGAAGTGCCTCTGCTGAATTCTGATGAAGAGAGATGAAGAGAAAGAGCTCCGACTTCACCAGAAACAACACATTCGTTGAAAACCTTTTTTTAATAGAAAATAAAAAAAACTTGATTTGATTGGCTATTTCAAAAGTTGTCATCACGACACGGCCCCATCAAAACCTATGACATTGCAGATTAAGCTCACCTGCAAACAGACAGAGCGTTTATCCCACAAACTATAAAAACAAAGAATGCTAACTCGCTCATGCTGACCACAGACTTATCCAACCATGGCCCATATTTGGGGCTCGTCTGGTCCTCCCGGTCGGGAGCAGTGGACGAGCTCCCGTGGTGTGGCTCTCATGCACGTGCACAGAGGGGCTCGACCACCAAACGAGCAGAGTTTGTTGCATTAAAGTGTAAATTTATAGAAAACTGATGGATTTAATGAGAAAAAAGTCCAGGATGACGAGGGGCACTTAAATCCCCACAAAAACTAACCTTTATGAAAGCTGTAGGTTCTGTCAGCTGAGGTCTATGACTCTTAACCCTGAACCCTGAAATATTATTTCCATGTTATTTTTAAGAGCACCCTCCAAATGTAATGCTAATTATTCTTGGTTTTATACAAAGCTAAATCGGTATTTAGCTTTGTATAAAAGCTAAATATTTTGGTATTTCCAGGAAACCTTTATTTGAAAAAATATATATATCTTTGTTCAAAAGGCATGTGTTTCCATTTGGTATTTTCTCATTTGCAAAAATCAAATTTTGACTTATGATGGTCATTGGAAATGCAGCTATTGTCTTTTAAAGTCTATGGCGCTCGTATAAGCCATATAAGGAATGAGCACTCATGAGCTTCAGTCTTAATACTAGAAACTAACTACAAAGGTATTCCTCATAGACTGTATTCCTCCAGCATCTGTCAAACTATCTTAACGGTTATACACATATTTGACTCTCTAATTTAACGCAAACTTACTGGTAAACTTTACTGCGCTCTAAAAGCAGGCACAAAACATTCACACAGACACACTATAACCCCAGTTAACTTTATAACACAACTGGGGATAATATAAATGATCTTTGACGATGTACTCACAGCGGACTTTCGGAGAATGCAGTTAGCCCCGAGTGTCAGTTTGTGCGCGTGCGAGATGCAGTTGATGCGCGGCGCGTCCGCAGCGCGGATCACACGCGTATCTCTGCGGAGGTTAGAGAGCGTCCGCTCTGTGGATCTGGTTTGAATCCGCCGCGGGTCCGCTCTGCGGATTTGATTCTGGGGCGGATGTGGCGGACCGAATGCGGATCCAGTGTTGCCAACTTAGCGACTTTGTCGCTAGATTTAGCGACTTTTCAGACCCCTATAGCGACTTTTTTTCAAAAAAGCGACTAGCGACAAATCTAGCGACTTTTTCTGGTGTTATTGGCGACTTATCTGGTGTTTTGGCGACTTATCTGGTGTTTTGGAGACTCGTGAAGCACGTATTGTTCTGCTGTCCTCAACGTGAGCCCCTCCCCCGTCCCAAAGCACTTACAGGCGGCCAGTCTCACAGTAGCCTTGCGCAGCAGTCCCAGCTACAGTCTATGGGCGGAGCAGAGAGAGAGAGAGGAGACTCAAAAGCACAGGAAGTTTTCAGGCTGCTGCAGACTGAACTTCAGCTCCACCACCACCACACATCCAAAGCTCCCCGGCCACTCCTACCACCGCCACCCCCCACTACCCCCCACTCCATCCGCGGCAGCTCTGTCCGTGACTCTGTTTTCTCTCAGTAGTGGGTCACATTAAATCATTTGTTATGCCAAACTATGAAAAAAAAAAAAAACTTACAAAAATAAACCTAAGTAACTCTGCCAGAGTGTGTCTTTTGGGTCACTTTGCCGGTCCCAAGCCCGGATAAAGGAGGAGGGTTGGTTGTAGAGCTAGCAATTTCACCCTACATAACAATCTTTTGATTACATTTGCTGTTATAACATTTAACAATACAGGACAAAACTGATGTGTGTAATGTGGATCTAGACAAAGCATTAAAATCATTAAATGTTGTTAATGTTGAAATTATTTTTGTACATTTGTAGTTCTAAACATATTTAGGGTGTTTTTACTCACTTTTGTCTCTCCCACGACCTTATTCCTCTCTCCTACAGCGTCCGTTACAGTTATTTGCAAATGGCAAATTATGCAAATTAGGCGATGACGTCATTTAGCGACTTCTAGCGACTTTTGGGACAGCCAATAGCTACTTTCCTTACTGAGGAGTTGGCAACACTGTGCGGATCCGCCCCGGAGTCTGTTGCTATCTGGGGAGTGACACCGTGAGTGCACACACACAGCTCAGGCACGGGTCCGTTCTCCTTTTGTTTGTGCAGGAAACTTATCGTCTGCTTATGAGTTCACAGATTGTGCTACCAGTTGATCCGGGTTTTCTGGTTGCTTACATGAAGGTCAGGTAGTGGCACATTTGTGCAAAGTTAGGCACCGCAATCGCTAGTGGGCAGAGAGAGCACAGGTCGCAGCCATCTTGGAAAGCCTCCAGGAATCCGCCCTATTCAAATGAATGGTTGTGCTCAGTGACCAGTGTAGAGTTGCCACAGGACGAGTCATCAGCCTACGTCAGCAGCCGCGGACTGCTATGAAAACATTAGCTTTGTGGTTTCACAGGCGCAGTTGACTGCTTAAACTAAACTTTGCACGAAACTTTGACTCTTAAAACCCACATGTGACAAAACGGGACCATCAACATCTCGCCTCAAATTGCATTAAAAGTGACATTCGTGTCTGAATTCGTTCGTATTTCAACTTTTAGCAATTCACGGTCCGCCATCTTGGTATGCTTCGGTTGCCGTGAGACGCGCATGCGTAGGTTTGCATTACATCATAAACAGCTGAGGCAGTGCATCTCTTCAAGACAGTGTATCTCGGCGTTACACCTGTGTCAGTTGAAGCGCGTCAAAAGCTTTTTGAAGCTTTTGGTCTGAACGCGCCAGAGTGTGAGCCTACTGACCCATCCACGGAACAGAAGGTGGCGGTAATGCGCAAAAATAGGTCGCCAACCGCCGGAAAAACCTAACAAGAAGTAGAAGAAGAAGACAAGTGTTGTAGTGTGGAGGCAAACATCTTTCGACCGTTGATGGTTACCACAGCTTTATATTTGTGTACTTAATAAAAACAATAAAGGATTGTAGAACACAGTATTTTGCTCTATTTGGATGGTGAGAGACACGCGTCCTAGACGCCAACACACTGCATCCAGCGGACCTTGCACAGGGCAAGTTTTGGCCGCTACATTGTCGAAAGATAGCCTCAGGTACCGTCTGGGCGTCAAGATTGCGTCAGCTGTGATTGGCACAGCGCGGTTTCCTGGAGAGAAGTGGACCCACGACTACCGTGGCGGTGACTCGTTGCCACAGGGGCGCGGCGAACTGTCGAAATATTAAACAAAGCCTAATGTCAGGGCCTGGATTTAAGCACTTTGATGAGAATTACTTTATATTGTAAATATAGGCTACAGAGTATATATTTTTGCATTTTCGCCTGGTGCCACAAGATTTTTTCAATGAAAAAAGTGTGCCTTGGCTCAAAAAAGGTTGAAAAACACTGCCACAGGATTCTAATCAGCTTCGCATTTATGGAGGAGTATTGCGCCACCTTCTGGGTCAAAAGTCCACCAAATATCAGCTTTTCCATGTCCAACCGGGGTCTCCAGATCATGAACCAGCGCTCACTAGTACCGGGAACTAGTTTCCATCGGCAGAGACCAATCACCCGTCAGAAATCCCCGGAATGTGGACATGGGAAAACAATTTTAAAAGCTTAGTCAGTCCAAAAAAGAGGACACAAAAAAAATATAGTGAGAGAGCAAAAAAGCCGGTTGCCTCTCCAGCCTGCTGGGCTTCTCCCAGGCCCCTGATACTCTCAGCTCTCCCACGCCGAGGAAAAAAAGAAAACAAAGGAAACTCCCTCAAAACAAGCAGAGAATGGCACACACTGAGCCGCGCATCCTCCACCAAATCTGTCAGGAATAAAGCAGACAGAGACGGATCGTGGTGCGCCAAACTCTGGAAGTTTATTTAAGTTTCTCTCAAGTTCCAGTGGTTTCCATTGTTTCCTTCTCTCCGACAGAATAAAGGCAGTAGACAGTTTATATAGTCATTGTCACACATCGAAAGACGTACGTGTCACACAGAGACAGAGCACATCATAGTCAAAATAATCAGAGTCCTTGTAGAGTCCTGCACGTAGGCCATATTGCTAATACTAAAGTACCTGTAATATGATTAAACGTATACACTACGCGTTACACTACTACGTTACTCAAATTGTAATTTCGTTACACCCAACTCTGATGCTAACACATATGGAATGAAGACATATGCACATTGTGTGATTTGACCAATATACTGTATAGCAATAAAACAGGCATTCTGTCTGTCACTGATCTTTGAACTGTTTTAGTGGATGCCACAGACTTTGCAATAGCCTGTAAGTATAGAGATGGTGGAGGTGATAGTTTCATGTTTGTCTCTGTTCTGGTGCTTTAGATGGTGATGAAGTTTGTCTAAAAGAGGGATCCCCACCTGTCGACCAACTGACAGAGTGCCTTCTCGATGCCTGCGCTGTTGTAGCGGTTTGAGAGACCTCAGAAGGGCCAGGGAAAAGAGCTTCTTCATATTCTCTGCAATTAAATAAAAGTATATTTATATCTATATACAGCAGCTAAAGGAACCTGTCCCTGGATCATTTACATTGACAGTGGGAGGACAATTTCCTCTCACTATCAATGAGATAATAATAACTGTGCAAGAGGAAACTATTTGTGTGTGGATCAAATGTTCTTCCTGACGTTTGTTGCTTTCATTATTAAGTGTATCTGAGCTTCGGGAAAAATCTGACCATGTGTATATGATTTTGGATGTGAGAGATATCACTGGAGAGGATTTGGAGGCAACACTGGTGAAGAAAATGTGTAGAAAGAGAATAAGGCTGGGGACTAGCACTGTGTATATTCATGTACATTATATATTTATGTTGTTTTCCATTATTTTGAT